CTTATATTTATATATATATTTATTTCAGCTCAGAAAACACTTGCAACTAGAGTGTCCAACTCCTCATGCTCCGTCTCAGCTCTTGGTCCAACAATGCTTTGAAAGAGCAGATTGTAGTTAAACCAGATCACCTATAGCACGGAGTCCTTCTGCTTAAGCGTAATGGATACTGTAGGTTCTATGTAGCTTTGGTAAGCAGACTACTTATTCAAGCGCCTAAGGAAAACATCTTGCAAACAAGTAAATAAGCCTCCATTGGTTCCTTAGCGACTATTAATGTGAAGAACTGTTATGTCTACATGTCGGCAGGTTGGAGCTATGATACAGATTTACAACAAAAACCACTCTAGTTTGATAATGTCAACTTTGAAGAAAAAATGAAGACTTTTAGAAGAAAGGTAGAAAATCGAGATTTAAAATAACTGCATTTTAATTCCACAGTGATTTTCATTGTGGCATATAAGTACATTTAGCAGTGTTTAAAATCTTGTTAGTAGGAATTTAACCGCACAGATGAATCTCAAACGGAATAGCTGCATATTTCAGCACTTGCATTTCTACCTGTAACGGGTGACAAAAAAGTGCTTCAAATTAATAGCTCAGAGTTAAAGTTTTGAGCATGCTATTGCTGTTAAAGTAAAAGCAAAACTGCAGGGCTACAACTTTCTCCAAAAAAATGCAAACCTGGAAAATTTAGTACCAAAGAAAATCTCAATATACACACCTACAGTAACGACTTGTCTTGGTACATGATCCCCAAATTGCTGTAGTTATTTACAGCAGAGACTTATATAGAAGCAGTATCCCTTTTCTAGGTAAGCCTTCTGTGTCAATTAGCAGTAAAAATGTCTTTATTTGTTCACCTTTTAAAGGCTTACAAATAAACTTTATTTTAGTGTAACTATGCAGGGCTGCAGGTAATTTCAAAACAGAACTGGATAGAACTACCCAAAGAAAACCGTCTCATCCTTCACACACATACACAAACACATGCTCAGCTTCTAACGCTACCGACCTCAAACGCACGTACTTATCAGCCAGCACAAGATGTAGGCACCAAGCTGTGTAAGAAATCCATGCGACCGGCCACATCTGGCTCTTTGGCAGGTTTTGCAGGCACTTAAGCCGACAGTTTCGGCAAGAGAGACAAAGCTTCATTAGCCCAGCTCTTGCCTTTGCCTTCACTCAGAGAACATGACCTCCCAGGTCGTTTGACTGCTCAGACTTTATGCATCACTGGTTAACAGTTTCTTTTATACACCACTGTCTTACATCTCAGCTTCCAACAACCAAGAAACATCATTAGTGAACTAATAAATCCAGTAAGCCTCCTTTAAAAGACGTCATTACAAAGCAAAGACTACACTGCTGCTGCTGTGCCATATCACGGCGTAAGACGGCAGCGAGACGTTACTTTTTCTATTAGATCCAAATGTTGTATTTCTTTGTTGTCATCTCTCTTCATCCTCTCCAAAGGTCAAAGGATGGTACACATTACTGGAGCTGGTGGTCAGATAGTCCATTTGTCACGAAACACCACTGTCAGATACACACGGTACAATTACACAATCAAACAGCCTTCATCTTTTCAGTTTATACTTCAAGTTACATTCAGGAGCAGTGCTATCTGGAAGGAGTATCATTTAGATTTAGATTCATCTAAAATTAATCACAAAAAAGGATGCAAGACGTGACAGCTGCCTGTTCCTCTCCTTTATGTGACTATACATATCTCCAAGCAGAAGCTGAAGATCTGCTTGGATAGAGAACTGAAAAGGAGCTTTGTGAGAAAGCTAACCAGCACTGCATTTACACACTGTATCTTTTCACACAGAAAATTCCTTTTTATTTTAACGGTTACCTTGGCCCTTATCCTGAAAGTGAAGACAAGAGTTTAATTTAGGCTACAGCTACCTGAACAGCTACACGGAGACCTGAGCTCCTCTGTCATGTTCCAGGCTGGCCAGATGTAAGCCAGGACCAGGCTGAAAGTTGTCCAATTTTTGCAGCAACATTTGGCTCTACAGATGCTAGAAAGGTAACTGTGTCTATGCCGCTGGCTGGAACACGGGTGGGAGGCAGAGTTTTGCTCTCATGCTCCTCAGCATGACCACACACAAAACTAGTATCTGTCTACACCATTGAAGAGCACATGCCACTGGAGAGAGACTGCTGACAAACAGCCAGGGAAGGAAAACAGCCTCAGGAAGGAAAAAAGTTGCAAATTTTCAGCGTATTTCCTACAAGATTCACTTTTTGCACACAGCAACCTCAGAAGCCCAGTTCCATACAGCAGGAGAGCGAGGCTAAACTGACCAGAGATTTGAAAACTTCAGTAGGTTTACCAAAGAATACAGTTCAGAGAGAACTGCCCATTATAAAGAGATCAAATGGGCCAAGAAAAGGGGAAATGGTGAAGTCCATGCCAAGCGTATGACAAGGCATTAAACTGGCCCTTTATACAGCAGTTCATAGCCTTGAAGCTATGCTGCGCCCACAGCGACTCCCAAACTCTAGGATGTCAGCAAACCATAGCTGTTTTCATGATACAATGTTCACTATTTGTTTGAAGATCTGCTTTTCTAGTGTGGATTGCATACCTGTCTCTTATTTCTTTTATTGATCCTACCTTTTAGGAAAAAAAGAGAGCACATCTTAAGGACGTGAACGTAGTCCTTCATGACAACCTAACTGACACAGTGACACAGAACACTGTATAAGTCACTCTGCCGTGTCCAGGGAATAAGAAGAGATTATGCTTGTTCATTACAGCGAACAAATATTCCTCAAAATAGAGGGGAAATCTGTCTTTAGAACAGGATTGAGTCATTTTTACTTTACTTTTCTGGAGAAAAAAAAAAAGTGTGATCTTTAAAGTTAACTTGTCGAATTGTAAGGGGAATATGAAATCCTGTTTAAACTTGTAAGTATACATCTAGGGTCAACAATATTTAGACAATTCTGAGAACAAGTGTAAGATTACTTAGCTGCAAAAGGATTTTTATCAAAGTGACTAAATACTAAAATGACACAGTTCATGAAGTAACATACCTGACTGTCATACAGAGCAAGGTAAGGAAAGAGCTGCTTCTTTACATCAAGTTAACCGCATACGAAAGGGGCTTCTGCATGTCTCCATTCTCTCAATTAGTAGAGGTGAGGTAGTGAGACTACAACCTTGCCTGTTTTGATGATTCCTTGTAGCCCCTGAATCTCTTAACAGCCATGCTCTGTGTATTAACCTTTCCTTTCTTCCCTCCTTGCCAGGAGCGTGTATAAACCTGTTCTCCAAAGCTTGGCGGTTCTTTGCCATTCTGGATTATCAGATAACAAATGTGACCAAAACCTCAAAGCTTTGCAATACAGTGTGATTTTTTTAAAGAATGAATTAATTGATTTGGAAAGTTTATCAATACCAAAACTATTAATGAAGAAATCCCCAAACCCATTACCTGCCAGTGCCCATTCGCCAGTGCCATGTGAGTGACCGCTGTAATATAAAATGTAGGTATCATGTCTGGGTCCATCCGCTGTCCTAAGTTCAAGAAAAGACTTGATCTTGGAGTGAAGGGTATCAAAGGTCATTCCACTTGTAGAGTAGTCACAACCATATGTCTCAATCATGTGATACGCAAAAAATCTTTGGATGGCATTAAGCATGCCAGTAGACCTCAGATTTAACTCTTGTACATGCTCCGGTGGAAGAAGAGTGGGTTGGCCATCAGGACTAAAGAGAAGAAAACCAGCTATGATTATGATTTACAATTATTTCATGCTTAGTGGACTTTTAGCAATTGGTGATTTTTTTCCCTGAGCATATTTTCTCTGCTATGAAGTAGCACTGTTCTAAATTCAAATTGACTTGAAATGTTGAGTTTATAAACAATTCAAAATTCTGTATTTGATTGAGGGACCACTATCTCCCCCTCCCTTTTGTCACACTTCTTCACTCCAAAGCATAGTCCTTACTCAATCCCACGCTATTCCTGCAGCTGAGAGACAGAGGGGGAGAGAGAGGAGCTCCGACGTGAACATGCTAGGTAGGCTCCAACAATCTCATTAAGTCCCACAGAGAGCACTGCCTTCAGACCGGCACTTTTGCACACACAACTGGAAAGAAGTGCAGGGAGAATGAGCGCTAATCTGCACAAAACATCACGCAAACTACTTTCCAATAACAGACTAAAGAGAAATCCAAGTACACATTTTGCTCAGATATTCTGAATTAATTTATCTCTGTTCCAAATTAGCCTTTATTCAATATGATACTCGCACAAATACAGTAAGTCCTTATTTGTGTGTGCTGTTCAGATGCTGATCTTTCAGCGTAAGAAATGTGTTTCAGGTAACGGTATTCACATCTTAGAAAATGGAAGTTCTAAGAGAATTACAAACTAGACCTGGAACAAACTATGTACATATAGATGTGTGTGTGCATGTATGAACATGCATATATAGCAAGAGAGTCTCTGCGTTCCAAAATGCATTTTATCGGTATTTACACATATATTCTGTACAAAAATATAGAATATATATTTAAAATATATATTTTTAATATATATAAAAATACACACAATATTTGTTTTTAAGCCCACATAGCTATTCATTAACCGTGACAATAAGAGATTTCATCCTGCAACACACCCAGTTATGGGAGCTCTCTTCAGGATGTATTTTCAGAAAAAGAAATGCATTCATCACCCTTCAGCCAATGTAATAATGGTAATGATAAGGAGCATGGCTGACAGCTGTACCAAACTGGCCTGATTTATACTCAGTTATAGACATGGAGAGGTTTTGTGGGTGAAAATACGGAGACGGTCTTACTCTACTAATACAAAATATGACTTCTGTTTTTTATATATATGCATGTCTGTATGCATTCTTCATGTACTTTGTTTGCAAGTCAGTGCGTTAAGCTACCTGGTTTCTTTACTGGTCTAGCTAATTAAATTTTGCACCTTATTACCTGCCCAGTGCCTTCATGAAGGCTAAGGTTCCGCTACGACAATTATACTGAATACATCAGAATTACTGTTTGTCTCGGCAAGCGAAGACCAGGCCCATCATTGAAACAGTCAAGCTTTGTTAATAAGGAACTTTAGTTCTGTCAGGCCCTAAACAGTTGCTTAAGAGTATCTCATTTACTCAGAAATTAGAGGGAACTGCCAGAGCCAGAATAATATAATATAATGAAAGAATTAAATTGTTGCCATGGAAGCAAAAATAATTTATTTATATTGTAATGTAAATTTTGAAAATTTTTTCTTTCAGCCCTAACAATAATTGACTACACGGATTTTTTTAAGTGTGCACAGCTGAAGGCTGTAGATCAGAAGCTCAGAAAATTTGTTTTTACAGTATTTTACACTATTTAAGATACAGTGATCTAAGATCAGCACGCTACCTTCTGTTTCTTTGCCTGTTAATTTTTTTCCCTGTTCGCTGAATCCATTACATACACTCAAGCTGGGCAGTTCTCATAAATTGGGCAGTTCTATTTTTAAGCCCTTCATTTCAACTTACTACTCTGTTTCTCTTTTAACTCAAATAGGTAACTTACATAGTTCTTGTTTCTTGTTTAAAAAAAAAAAGTGTACAAACAATTTTAATTATATGGCTAAAGTAGCATTTGCAAGTTTAAAGCTTATAAGGAAAACACACAAATGAGCAAATAATGATAGTACAATCCCTCCACTCCCAAGCATTTCTCATATGGCAATATTTATATTGGAACAAAAATCAGCTATAAAATCACAGTACCAATAACTGACGTGTAGTCCACTCACAAATCTAATTTCAATGTCCTTTAAATGTAGACACTATCTCATATAATAGAATTCAAAATTGTTTTGAACTGATCTGCTTGGTTTATTAAATCTCCTCATGTAAAATATCTGCACTCAGTCAAATGCCCCAATCCTCCTTTGCGTGAGATACAGACTGTGGAATCCGCCTTTGCATGACTGGTGTGTAAAGCATGCACTGGCTTCCTAAAAGCAAATTAAATGCATATAAAAAGGCGGAATTGGAGTTACTCTTTTTGGAAGGTGAGGAAAAGGAAAAATACAAAACGTGCCTATAATTTAGATTTGTATTTTATTATTGAAAAATATAAACAACAGCACTGCATTGCCTCTACGAGCTAACAGTACACTTACACTACCGTGAAGCTGAAATACATGGTAACTAAATAAATACCTGCAAAAGTTGGTGGGAATCACAACAGCATATCCAACACACGTTCCTCCCAAGCAGTTTCCCAGTTCATGGAAAAGCCCATGAGCCATGGATTCCAGAGGTAAAACGATGAGAAATGCACTCATGAAGATCCCATTGGTTGGCTAAAAAGAAAACACAGAGATGTAACTATTGCATGAAAAATCCTTCCTGTCTGTTGGTTATGGTTTTATGAATAATCCCTTGTGTTTGATTACACATAATTGGGTGCCGAAACGGGCAAGTTATTATACGTAATGTATGCTTATTTTTCCACATATTACACGGTGAAGTACACTAAAGACAAATGAAAGGCTTGGGGAGAAGGTGGCTGGTAAGCAGGGATCACTCTTCTGAAAGGAATGCATTTGCAAACACTAACAGCACAGGACTTCGGTTTAAAAGCCCTCATCATAGCTTAGCTTTACCTATTTGAGCAGGAAAATCAAATGCCACAAAACTATTTATGTGCATAAAATATCTGTAAATATCTGCAGGGTCAGGTCTTAATCAGCAAAGTACAACTCAGGATATTATGTACCTAGCATCACATGACAGCATACTATATTGCATCATTAAAAATATAGATTTAACTATCCTTGCTTTTTAATGCCAAGAGTGTTTAAAATATTCCTTGTGGAATAATGAGTATCACACAAAAGATGACTTCAGAGAACATTTATGAACATCACTGCAATTAAAAAGACAATTCTTTATCAGCTACGTAAACTGCAGATGAGAGGGGACATCCACTATAGGAGCCTGTAGCATTCACACAGCCAATACCTCACACTGAGCGTTCCTGTTTGGTGGGTAAAAAGCAATTTTGGAAAAGATTACATTCACTGATACATAGATGATTTCTGTAAAAAAAAGAAGTGTCAAAAGTTAAGTATCCATCACTAGTACTAGTAAAATAAACATGGACTTCTGAAATGCCAGCTGTCAGTGAGAGGTAGAACAGATACGGATTCATTTTAATTATTTTAATACGATGTGAATGGGTTTAATGAGGCATCAAATGCTTTAGGAAAGGTAGAAACAGTATAATAACCATGGTGTAGTTATTAATGTTTGTTATGCAGCAAAGGAAATAAATTCATAGCTACAGATTTCTGTCTTGAGAAGAGTCCCGTGGCCTCTGATCACATCTATGTTTTATTTGCCCTTTTTGCATAAATCTGCAATATTAATGTTTTTTAAAAATCTGGATATTGTCTTATTGTTTAAAACTCAGTGATCTGATGTGGACTAGTCGTTCAGCTTAACACATAGACAAAGCTACTAATAATTTGGAAACTAAATTATACTGAAAAAAGGACATCTAAACCAACTCAGTTGTTGTTGGTACATGGCACTAACTCAACTATATTCACTTTTTAAACACATAAATATTACATGACTTAGTCTGAAAGAACAAGCTTTACCCATCTCATATGCTTCCTGCCCTAAGGAAGAATACTGTTTGCTACCTGTCCCAGTTTTAAAATGTGTCCCATTATACTTCTGATGGAAGGACCTCACCGATGTGTCCTCGAAATGGTGACCGCAATATTGCCAACCACAAATACACACCAGAATCTGATATTAACTGATAACATTATTAACTGACAGCACTATTCTCAAGTAACTGTTAACTAATAACATCATTCGCAAATTCCAACATCTGAAACCACTACAAAACTGTATCTAGCTTCTACTGTGCTTTATGCAATTTATGACAAATGAAATATTTAGTTAGTTAGTTTCTAGCTCTCAAGGACATGAGGAGATGACATTGAGCAGACATCAAATCACATTACAGAACAACTGTGGAGAGCTTCCCTTTACCCATAGCCCCGCACACCTGATCACAAAAGGCACAATTAATATGCTCATTGACTTGCCAACATTCGAGCTACAAAACCGATTCAGATACAACCAGTTCATCAACAGGTGATGAGCGGACTGCCATCTGATTTTATGTGGTATAAGGTAATTTGATGTTTTGGTGCTAATAATTTGAATCCAGAAGGAGCAACGTGTGCCTATGAAGCACATACACATTATAGGAGATTCACAAGCACTTTTATGTACATAATTTTCTTAAGCCAGCTCAGGAGGTACCTTGCATCTTTCCAGATACAATCCTCCCTGTCCCAGACTTGCCTACACTCAGAGGGTCAGGATCAATGAGTGAGTGAGCAGACAGACTCTATTTAGGGCAAGCACAGAGAAGCATTCACATAGTGATTCTCGAGTTCTGTGTCAGAAAACAAGGATATTCAGAATAATTCCCCCCAAATGCATACAATTTACCTTAAAACGTTGTAACAATTACGGTGCAACCTCAACTTGTTTTGTTGTCAATAAGGAGAAAAAAAATCCTGTAACTAAGGCAACATAATTTTTGTTTCAAATGTATCAGCAAAAATGCTCAGGTTTGTGGCTCAGTTTCCCAAATGCACTCTGAAAATGAGAAGGACTCAGCAACAGCAATAAAAACTTACAAAGATTTGGTTAGTTTTCGTTCTATAGAAACCTTGTAAAAGATAAGACTTTGACGAAACAGTGGAACTCTCCAGTTAAATTAGTTTCAAGATCTGGTGACTTACTTTTGCAACCATAGACACCAGAAAGATAATTTGCTTTAAGTGACAAAAAACCAGGAAGACTTGGATCCTGCAGAAATTGAAGGGTTTGTCTGGAAAAGTTCCTTATTCATCGTCAGTTAGAGGATTTTCTAAACTTTGGAAAGCCTGAACACACGGATCAGGAAGTATTATAATGCATTTCTATGACAAATTCAGCTTTTCCATCATATATAAATATGGCAGACACAAATATTACTTTTCCTGGATCTTGTTAGAGCAAACAGCTCTTAAATTGCATTAGTGTTTTGAGCACAGTGAACATACTACAAACTGCATTTGCCCATAAAAACTACAGCTATCATAATATCCTAAAGAATATTATATTACTACTTTCTACGAATTTTATTGTAGAAGCTTTCTTAGAACACGCCACGTTGTTCTAAACACTTCCTGCATTTCCCTAATCCCCTAAAACACATGCAAGTTATTAAGCCTACAGAGTCTTCTACAGTAACACCATTTGAAATCATCACAAAGATTAATACTTTTCACCAAACTTCTGATTGAGTCTGACTTCTAAAAAAATATTTACATTTAATTGTTGAAAGTACTCCTACTACTCTGAAGATACAGGCAAGAAAAATCACAAGTACTGGAGAGATAAGGATCCTATATAGAAACTGTAAGGATCATCTCAGCGATCCATCTTGCTTTGTATCCTCCTTTTGAGATTGTACCAAGTATTAACGAGGAATGTGAAATACGCTCTATAGTGTTATGAATCAACTCAGCTCCATCTGAAGTTTCAACTTTGTCTTCATTTAGTGGCCACCTTATGCTATGGAGTAGGAAAATATTGTTAGTACAGATATTTTACACGTATAGACATCTATCTGATTTAAAGATGCTGGCACTTGCTGTCAGCACTTTTTCACCAGCTTTGATTTAGAAGAATTGTATCACTAGCAAATATAAGAATGATTAATGATGTTTGGAGCAGCTCTTTAGTAAGATAATACAATATTTTAATTCAGCACTGCAAAAAAAATGGTGTAATTTTAAAATATCTCAACTGTAAGAACTTGAAATAGCAAAAAATAATATCTAATTAAGTTGGTAATTACAGTAAATGTGAAGATAGGTCCCTCTTTTAAGTTAACAGCTAAGATGCCAGGTGGAGACTGTCAGTGCTTTACTAAATCCGAAAGATTTGGTGACCGGTCCTTAGTGGAGCAGATGGCCATGGATGCATAGGCAGAGCCAGAAAGGGATTTTGTTCTTTCATCCGTTTAACCCATTTTCATTCTGTTTTCGACTCCTCTGGCAATCTCAGCCTGCAGCACATCGCTGTGCTCTAAGTGCCCACTGATTCCAGATAAACTGCTCGAAAAGCAAACAGAAGATAGGGACCACCTCAGCAATCCCACTGAGAACAGGAGAAGCCATTCTCTCTCTTCACCTTTGGGGTTTTTTGCCTTTGTCTGTCTTCTTCTAAATGAATATTTAGGAAACACACAATGTGTTCTCATTTCAAATAATGTAGAAAATAGAAAAAAAAATAATTCTTGCCTCTGATGACTGAAATGACAGACAATAAAAGATGGGTGAGATTCACTAGTAGTATTAGCTTTCCACTTTCTTTAGCTTTTCAAGCAATGCTTATTGTTAAGTGTGACTCTTAAAACAGCAGAAGAATTTAGTGGTATTTTACAGCCAAGATATATAACTTTATATTCTTGGTTAGGACAACTCCAGTCCCAAGGAGTAAACTACTGTTGGAAGTGGAACAATTCTGGAACTGTACTGAACAATGGAAGCATTTCTGACATGTGATTGACAAAAACAATGAGGAGGAAAAAAAAACAAAACAAAACCCCAAACATTAGTTTAAATTGGAAGCCAGTTCCAAAGACCTATAGCAGTGCCCTTCTGATTAAAATAGAAATAAATTCCTAAACAGATGTCAACTAAGATGATCACAGAATCACTGAATGGTTGAGGCTGGAAGAGGCCTCTGGAAACCCTCTGCTCCAGCCCCCGACTCAAGCAGGCTGCCCAGGATTATATGGAACAGACCAACAACTAAGGAGGCTTACAAAGATGCCTTTGTGTATTTATAAGCAAAAATTTTGCCCTGCTTTCCATTATCCAATCTGAATAATATTTACCTATTTTATATATGCATACACACACACACAAAGTAAATATAAAGATCCGCTTAGCTACTCTGCAGTGATCCTGCAAAAACAAAGATGTATACACTCTATGATGGAGAAGGCTCAGGAGAAAAAGGATAATGTGATAACAAATCTACCAATATTTGATGGATAGTTTACTCCAAATGAAAACAAGATAGGTATATTACAGGTAAAAAGCAGCTTAAAGACAAAATTTGTAAAGTTATAATGTAGATCAACTACCAGAGGAAACTGTCTTATAACAAGTCATTGAGTGAAAGCATAGCCTCTAGAGAACAATAAATAATCCATTACTTCTGACTATTAAAACAGCCTTGGGAAAATCTAGAAAACAGTTTGCAGAGAATACTTGTC